ATAAAGGTACAATAAACTTGCAAGTTGTCAGCTTGTAGACTGTATACATGAATGTATCGTCATAATTGTAGAATTAAAGCTGAACTTGTTGTACATATTTCTTCTCAGAAACGTTGACGATTAAGAGTTATACTCGCTGTAACAAGACTGCTGTTCAATTTCGATATTGAATTGTCTGCAGATATGCGTAATGGTCACGCATGTAGATAATCATATCGTCGTCCGGGATTGCATATTCTAGCAATTTATCACGGAATAGTTGATTTCTGTGAAGATCTATGAAACGTCGTTGACTAAATAATACAGCGACAGCGTGTTGTAAATAGCCTGTGCAATTGTCTTCGCGTAGGCTTATAGACGACATCTGGCATACAGTTGATAGACAACTTATGCGATGTGTTGAATGGACTGACGAGTAGCTATATATGACGAGTGGCTAGTATATGGAGACCTTGGAGGAAACTTCCTCGGTGAATGCCGGAGACTTCGCGAAGTTCTCGAAGTATCCCTTCTAGATTTTCTGGGTGAAGTAGACTTGCAGCCACTTAGCCTTCGCGACCTTCGCAAAGGTATCGAGTCAAAGCCCGATTAGTATATATATATATGGGTCATTTTCAAAATTGGTAGGATTTTCAATTCTTTATTACAGTAAAATCAAACACATGAAAATTGATTTAGGTTTTATTCAAATGAAATCTCAAATACTTAATTATTCAATAATACAAACATGCAGGCTCAAATTTACTAATTGGCCTTTTAATTGATACATAAGTAATTAATAGGGTGAGGGAAAGTCCTGACCGTTACCACTTCTTAATCAGAATAAGGATTTAAAAATATAATTCATAAAAAATCTTTTAAAGATGGCATAAATAGCTTTTACACCGACTTAATCAAACTTGAAGGTAAAAACTATTATCATTATTTTTGAAAGTATTATTTTGTATCTTTCATTTATTTACCACAAAATAATTGCATTTTTCTAAAAGATTATTATGCATATAGCTTTCCGCAGGTAATATTATCTTAAAATCACATCAGCTACTAAGCCCAGGACATCTTTAGATGACACCAGCATAAAGAGGAGTGTTTCACGTATTATCATGAATTAATTAAAGCAGTCAATTAACACCTGTAACGGTTAGGACAATAGTGGTAACGGTTTGGACAGGAATGGTAACGGGCTGGACATAAACCTTAAACAATTTAATTCAACATAGAAACAGGTAACATGAAAGGAAAAAAATATATTATTTACTTCAACTGCTAACCCGATTTTGGACAGACAGTGAAATGTGTATTAGAAATTTTAACTTGTAACGAATATGTCATGTTTTCTTCCATGCTGTGGTAACGGTTTGGACATTTGTTATATCAATATGAAACTTGTGAATGAATTTAGGCTTTTGAATAAAAACAAGCTGTAGCTTCTAAAGAATAGAAAAACACAGCTGTCTAGGTTGAAAATTACTTATAATCTAAAGAAGAGTGCAGTTGAGGAACAAAAATTGAATGAATAGTAACGGTTGTGACATTATTGGTAACGGTCAGGACATCAGTGTAACAAACAAATGTTATCCCTCTAAAAAGTTGCAAAAGATTAAATTCTGAAAGGTACTGCAACAACTATGATACTGTAGGCATGATCATGCTACACAGGCCACTGAATAGATGTCATTTTGCTGTTGATATTATGGTGCAATATTAGTCTCCACGAAATATACTTCTTTCATTCACTCGGATACCTTTACTTTTTGTTAATCGTGAGATGGTAACATATATTTATCAAATACAAAGGTTTGGCCAACATATTAGCACCTAGCAAATATTCAAAGTAAATGGTAGCCTTACATATCTCACAGTTAAAGTTAAAACAGTTTCCACCCAAAAAATCTTTAAAGGTTGGAATACTGTTACCATAGATGTCCTAACCGTTACCTTTAATTTATAAAGACTATAGATCTTATAGAAAATAGAAACTTAACGTGATAAATTCGTTTTGGTTTTTATTGTTTAAAGCAGATAGATAAGTAAATAAAAAATTATGATCACACCATGGAACATATTCTTTAAAATTGAAATTTATTAAAGATATGTCCAGACCGTTACTATTATTTGTCCAAACCGTTACCAGAGACTGTGTTTTTTATGATACTACATCAAAACTCCTTTGAACAGAAAAATTCCATGCTTAAACTTATCTTAACCCTTAAAGTTATTATAAATTTGTTATATTTCAAATAGTATTGAACAACTTTTTGAAATACAAATCATTTTGTCCAGACCGTTACAAGGACTGTCCAAACCGTTACTTTGCAGAGTGGTAATGGTTTGGACAGTAACGGTCAAGACAATTTGTAAGTAAATCTAAAATATAAAAATGAATGATCCCTAAAAGATTTCAAAGGACATTCCTTCCACCTCTTCCATTTCTGGGCAACATATCCATTGAAATGTAAAAAAACAAAGAGATATATTTGACACAAAATACATTGGTAACGGTCTGGACAATTAAGGTTGACACATAACATTTGTACTTATTTGATGGTGTCAATTTTCTGCAAAATGTGTTGAATTTCATTATTTCATTTGCTGTCACATGCACAGGGGCTAGCTCAAGCACACACAGGTAGTAGTATTACAATCCAGCTCCAAGGGGAAATTATTGCAGGAATTTCATACACTGGTAACGGTCAGGACACAAAATGACAGGACAAGCATGTTACAATTTGTAGAAAAAAACTTTTTAAGTTAAAAAAAAAATTAAATGCAGTTTGAGTATGCCTGTTCAATGGTAACTGGCATAATATTAATTAGTTTGTTTATTTGCATTTATATTTACATTATTTGTGAACATTGATATTAGGACCGTCACCTCCGGACAGAGCAAATCTGCCAATTTTGACCCTAAAATGTGGCTAAATATAAATTTCCAAATGACAAGACTAATGATATACCACTTTTACTGACTAGTAAACTTCCAAATATGTTTTCTAGCACAAAAAAATCCTTTTAAGTTAACAGATTTTTTTTTTATTTGGAACGGACGGAAAATCCTACCAATTTTGAAAATGACCATATATATATATATATATATATATATATATATATATATATATATAGCTTGCTTATGAGCGGCCTCTGTGTTAAACAGGATGTGGGGATTCGTGGCGCTTCTCCTCAGCGATGTCCCTTGTAGCTGGTGAGGCTCTAGCTCCTTCTCGAGCTGACCTGGGACTTGCTGGTTGTGCATAAGTAGGGCGAGTGGATCATCTTATCTTCAGAAGTGGGTATTCACGAAGTCTGGTGATAAGTGTCTTATTGATCGTTCTAGATCTATTTAGGCCAGAGAACATCACGTCTCGTCATGGATTCAACTGAACCAATTTACGATTGTAGTTCTTATTCTTGATATCGATGATCAACTTGTCTATGGGTTGATCTTCGAGGAACTTGTGAGGAGAGCGTTGATAGCCCGCTGAAGCTCTTTGTGTAGTCCCTCGATGTCCTTCTAGATGATGATGATCTGGATTCAGGTGTCCTTAGCGAATGCCTTAGCGAAGCTTCCTCTCGTCGGTCCGAGAGCGACAATATGACCTTCGCGAAGGCTTCCGTGATGTCTGATGGTCCGAATCCACATCTAGGGATGAAACCGAAGAAGGCGATGATCTATCCCGCCTTAGCGAAGGCTGTACATCTAGGTCCTTCATCAAGGTGGTCCGTGACTTCCTTCACGAAGGTGACATCGTCCTGGCTGCTACGTTGACGGGGGGTGCCTCTGGGGTGCTGTCTACGTTGGAGCCTTCGCGAAGGCTCGGTCCCTGCTACTGCAGTCTGTAGCGGTCCTCCATCATGGTCATAATTTGCCGTATGAGGTCCTCAGGGATGGTCTGCGACCAGGTCGTCGGTGCCTTATCTGCGGTGTTAATGGAGGGGTCCACAGGAAAATCGTCCGACATCTGTGTAGAGGCATCAGGCTGCATGGTGATCTCTGCTGATGTCATTGTAGCTGTCACCGGTCGCTTCTTGTGGCGTACGTCGGGGATGATGATCGGCTGATCATCGTAGAGGTCCAGGTCATCGGCTGGAACAATCTCGGTTGAGAAAGTCCTAGTAGACTTCGTTGATTTCCCCTCAGAGGTCGATGCTGCCCTGGGTGTGCGACGTCTGCGTTGAGTGTTGGTAGCGATGGGACCCTCAGGAAGATCATCGAATATCAGCGTTGGTACATCAGGCTGCATGCTGATCTGCGCTGACATCACTGTTGCCGACATCGGTCATTCTTTTGATGTACATCAGGTATGATGATCGGCTGATCATCATACTCGGCTGTTGAGATGTAGTAGAAACCCTCTAGTCTTCGGCTGCGACGATGGGATGTATCAGTAATACTAGACTCTGCATACGCGACCTATCTGCTGCGCGTCTCAAACGCAAAGTAAATATTAATAAAGGGTAGAATTGGATAAATTAGTACCGCAACTGCAACGTGAATAAAATGAACATGGCGCAATACAACTAAGGCGGATCAGCAGCAGAATAAAAAACGTAATCTGCAATAGTACAGAATTTTTATCAACGTAATACACTGAAACAAACACGGCGTCCCGTGAATAAACTGTAGAAAAACGATTAAATATCAATATATAATCGTTGAAGGATACTAGCTAAACCTCTATAGATGTCTATACGAGGTAACTAACTAAATATAAATCAAAGGATATAGTGTCGGGAGACACAGGCGCTCTCACGTCCAGCTCACTGGGCGAAGAAGGAGAGAGTGAGGCACATGGGTAGAGGTGGCGCCCTCGTTCCCGAGCTTGTGGAAGGGAGGTAACTCGTGGTGAGTGCTAATTAGTGATTTTACATTGAAGGGAACTTCAATTAGGGAGATACAAGTGTTTCCACTATGTTCGCAAGAGGAAGGAGACAAGCAAAAGAGCATGAGTCAGGATAAGGAAAAATAACACTGTTTTATGATTATGACAGCACAATCTCACCTGTGTGAGTGACTGGTGGCAGTTACATTACCGGAATCATAGCGGAAAACTGTGTTTTCGTCCTGAAATTTAAGACACAAATTTAACGGCATACAAAATAATCCTTTCAACACACATATTATTAGACACATTGACATTAGACACAGCAATAACAAACAGTTTTGAGCCATGTTTCAAAATGTGACCTCTTAGTGGCCCTGACCTTACATAGAGGTCACGGTAAGGTTCCTGTGATTAAGAAAGCCCCAAGAGATCTTATGTACTGAGTTTCATTAGGCCTGTTTAAATATTAGTGCTGGTATTGGCATACAACCTGCTATATGATACATCACAATGCTAAAATTTTAGTCACGACGATGAACTGCCAAAGTATTGTGCACTGATGCTGCGATATGATACGAATCCCGATATAAGGGCGGCGATACCATGCGTATCACGATACTAAAATCTTTAATTCTAACACCAAATATAAAACACCTTAAGATCAAAACAAAAACATTTTAAAGTATTCCGTCACATTCCGCCAGTGTTTTTCAACGTTCATTCAGAAACGAGATAATTAAAGTTAATAACATGCGAGCGCTATGTCTGACACTGTTATTGACGCATGAATTTCAGAGAAAACGTGTACTTATGAAGTGAAAATAAGTGAGCATATATTTTAATCATCAAACAAAAGTAAGTCTTTTTTCTTGACAGATATCGCGATTCGGCAATATTCAAAGTTAAACATCGATGTATCGTGGCCCACTTGAAATATTGTATCGGGATATACGACAATGTAAAACTTTGTATCGATTCACTGTATCGGTGGCCCATGGATCGATGCATCGATGCGTATCGATGAATCGTCACACCACTATAAAATATGTTACTATCTTTTTTGTTAATTCTACAATTAAGTTACTGACCTCTATATCCTTGCTGTTCCTGTCTCGTGGAGGTGAGCCATGGCTGTAGGTAGGACTTGAGGATTCTGAGGAACTGAGATCACTGTCTGGGAGAGACAAAGCTGAGTCACTGGTTGTTGTTGTTGTCTCAGGGACGTGCAACTTGTTGGGGGGGCAGAATACTTTTGACTCATCTACAGCCAACACTTGATTCTCAGGAAGAAATGCTGAAGAAGAGCAAAATTCAAATGCAAATGCACTACAAAATTTTAGCCACAAGGCTCTGTAGCTGACATAACCTGATGGCTTGATTCGTATATTCTATTTTTTAGAGTAAAAATTATCATTTTATACTTATACTGACTCATACTATTTACTTTTATCTCTCCCATAACCCAAGATACAGTGGAAACATTCTGTGTCATGTTCCCCAAGAATATTAAAAACATCTCACCAAAGACACCCTACCACAATGCATGCGTACCGGCCTCCCACATGACCAGCCAGTGACTGTTACTCTCTCCATTTTCGTAATTCTAAATAGTTAAATAAAATGTAGTGGGATGGTTGGTGTGGTACTTCACCGTATGAGTTCGGATAAGTATGAAATAATATTTTGATACATATTTTAACTTATCCTGACTCATACTTTCTGCTTGAAGCAATCAGTAGGTGGTTAGCCACCTAATTTTGAATTCATGTACTGTTCATATAATCCTTTGGGAACTTCAAATCTTCTTTTATCTTGATGAAAACAGGGTAGCCCCTCTTTTGGAACTAAAGAAGTAAATCATAGAGATTTTGTGGATTCTTGCTTGTGCCTTAAGATGACACATATATGTTAGGAATAGGTCGTAAACTTAACTGAATCTTATCACTCATGCTCTAAATTACATAGTAAACAGGGGAAATGGATTCTCAGTTGTTGGTTTATGGGACAGTAACTGTGGTTGGCAAAGACAGTGCCAGACTTCCAGAAACATCCTTCCATAATGGATGTGATGGAGAAGTTGCCATCAAGTGAGAGTGGATGCTAGGGCTCTCACTTCATGTGGATTGGATGCCGTAGGAGTCCAGCCTTTTTGTAGGCTCTCAGAAATACTGCTCTCACCCAAAATAATATTTTCTGTAGATGAGTTGGGTGATAGTGGTATGAATAACCTCTTGAACTTCGTCCTTCTTAAAGCTTTTCTTTTCAGGTATGTGCAAAGAGTTATGACTGAACATTGATAAAACTTCTGTCTTTTTTGCTCCTAAAATAGATGTCAGAACTGTCTATCAGGTTGTCCTGGAAGTTGATGTTATGAAAACCCATCTTAATCCCAGACAGAAAGAAGCATGTTGCTGCTGCTGTAGCTGGTGCCAGGAGAAATAGTGAGTTTAGTTTTACGCCACTTACAATATTCCAGCAATATCACGGCAGAGGACACCAGAAATGGGCTTCACACATTGTACCCATGTGATGAATCGAAACCGTATCTTCAGCGTGACGTGCGAACACTTAAACCACCAGGGTACCCCATTGCACCACCAGGAGAAAGAGAGTTGAAATGTCAATGTCTGCTAGCTGAAGGCTTACTGAGGTTCATAAACACTACTGGTCAGATGTTGAAGGGCTAAATTTAAGTCCCCTGCCAGTGCTCTAAGTTACTTCTGATGATCTTCTAGTCTATGAGACCTCCAAAGGGCGGTGAGTTCTAGAACCAAAGTAAATTTAACTCCTCTATCCATCGTCAAAACTGAAGTATTAGCTGCTAAATAAATAGCTGATGCAGAATGTGTGAGATGTCTTGTACTTCTCAGATAACATAAATATTCTGCAACTTGAGGATGAGTAGCCTTCAATCTTGCAAACTGGTAAAAATTCTTCCATTTATCATCATAGAGACTTTTAGTAGATGTTTTGAGAGCTAAAGAGCCATCCTTGTCTGCTCTCGCTGAATATCCTCTTCTGATAAGACAGTTCATGATGTGTTCCATACGTGAAGTTGAAAGAGCTCTGGTCTTCAGTAAGGTTGTCTTGAATAAGTCATGTGCATCACTGACAGAAATCTCACATCAGTCACTGTTTTCAAGAAGTTCTTCTCTGTGTCACTTGGTTTTTGAATAGCCTTGAAATAAGTAACAAGCGGCTTCCAGGCCAGGCATATTGCATGGAGTGCATTGTAGAATGCAAACCATTGAATTTATTAGAGTAAAATTGATATTTTATACTTATCCTGACTCATGCTCTTTTTGCTTGTCTTCTTCTTCTTGCGAACATAGTGGAACACTTGTATCTCCCTAATTGAAGCTCCCTTCAATGTAAAATCACTAATTAGTACTCAGCACGAGTTACCTCCCTTCCACAAGCGCGGGAACGAGGGCGCCACCTCCACCCATGTGCCTCACTCTCTCCTCATATACTGAGCCCAACATTTGAATTTACAGGGAAATCCAAAGTGTTATGTGGGGAGGATGGGAGGGCTTACCTCATGAGTCAGGATAAGTATAAAATATCAATTTTACTCTAAAAATTACATATTTTTCCTTATCCTGACTCATGCTCTTTTTGCTTGTAGACTCCGACGGAAAGGGAGGTGGGAAATATATAATACTTTGGATTTTAATAATTAGTGATTTGAACTGTGATGATTGTAATAACCCTATGGGAACTTCATAAAGGTACTGAACTGATGAATTCCTGCTGCTAACTTATCAGCTGCCATATAAAGGTTATTACAAAGTACTTATTATGATAAAGTATATATAACATTAATACAATGCTTAAGACTAATAGACTTAAGCTTGTTAATATGCTAGTATAAACTCCTTAGAGTTTGTTAGCTAAAAATACTCTTTTAAGATATAAACATAGTACTAAGCTTAAGATATGATTAAACTTAAGCTAATTATATAATAGCAAAACTCTTTAGAGTTTGTTAGTTAATATACTTATATGATATAGATATAATGCTGAGCTTTAGATATGAATAAGCTTTAGCTACATATATAATAGCAAAACTCTGTAGAGTTTGTTAGCTAATATATTTTTACAATATGAGTATAGTACTGTGCTTAAGATATAATTAACTTAAGCTACATATATAATAGCCAAAACTCTGTAGAGTTTATTAGCTTATAGATTAATAATGTAACCATAGTACTAAGCTTAAGATAAGATTAGACTTAAGCTAAATGTATGTAGCAAAAAACTCCTTAGAGTTTATTAACTAATATACTTTTATGTTATAACCATAGTACTGAGCTTAAGATATAATTAAACTTAAGCTATATATATAATAGCAAAACTCTGTGGAGTTTTGTTAGCTAATACATTTTATAATGTAACCATACTGCTTAAGATATGATGAAACTTAAGCTAATTGTATAATAGCTAAAAAACCCTTTAGAGTTTGTTAGCTAAAATACTTATATGATATAAACCTAGTATTGAGTTTATGAAGGAAACCTTAAGCTACATATATAATAGCAAAAACTCCGTAGAGTTTGTTAGCTAATATACTTATATGATATAAACATAGTATTGAGCTTTGAAGGAAACTTTAAGCTACATATATAATAGCAAAAACTCCGTAGAGTTTGTTAGCTAATATACTTATATGATATAAACATAGTATTGAGCTTAAGATTTGAAGGAAACTTAAGCTACATATATAATAGCAAAAACTCCGTAGAGTTTGTTAGCTAATACAAATTATAATGTAACCATAAAGCTTAAATTATGATGAAACTTAAGCCAAATATATAATAGCAAAAAACTCTCATAGAGTTTTGATAGCTAAAATACCTATATGATATAAACATAGTACTGCGTTTAAGATATGAATAAGCTTAAGTTACATATAGCAAAAAACTCCGTAGAGTTTGTTAGCTAATACATGTTATAATGTAACCATATTGCTTAAGATATGATGAGACTTAAGCCAAATAGCTTAAAAACTCTTTAGGAGTTTGTTAGCTAATATACTTATATGATATAAACATAGTATTGAGCTTAAGATATGAATAAGCTTAAGCTACCTATATAATAGCCCAAACTCTGTAGAGTTTGTTAGCTTATATATTTTTACAATCTGAGTATAGTACTATGCTTAAGATATAATTAAGTTAAGGTAAATATATAATAACCAACTCTGTAGAGTTGTTAACTTATATATTGTATGATGTAATAATCATAGTACTGTGATGATAAAAAGAACTTAAGCAAATTATATATAGCATGTAGCTATTTAGTACTGTTATAAGATAAGTAGAAATCTGTAAGATTGACTTATCTTCTCCGAGGAACTGTCAACTGTTGTGCGAGGACCATGGGATCGAATTGGTGGATACCTGAGACGTCCTCGGTGATGATATCTCTCAGATAATGGTTGGCAATCACCATATCGGATCTCAGAAAATAAACCCTCCATTATTTCAAATAGCATTGTGTAGATCAATGCAGAAGTTAGCTCTAATATCATGAGTATTAAAAGCTCATGGAGGGTCGGATTGGGTCCATCCGTCTTTGTATGCACGTAGTATGACAGTTCTGATCCAAAGCGGAGATATAGTGCATTGAGATTTCATTCTCATAGTAAGTTGATGATAGAGGAAATAATCTGTTGTATTATTCCCTTCTGTTTGGTTCGGTGGAGATAAATTTACAGTGCTCTTGCTGGCCATCGCGTGATAGAATCATCGTATCATGAAGTCCAAGTATGTCATCCAGGCGTGTTCATAAACCTCACTTGTGAGGTGTTGGAGCACTATATTCAGATCCCAAGTTGGAGGGGTGAAACTTCCGTTTTAATTCTCCAATCAGAAAGTTTAAAGTAAGGTTTACTAACCATCTAGTTGTGTTAGTAGCTTGATTATAGAAATTCCAGCTGTAGTCTGAGGCGGCTGTGGATTTAAGATCCACTTGTATCCCGTCGTCTAGGTTATTCGCTCGCAAAGTCCTTGGCGATGTAGGTGCACAACCAGGTGTGTCTGTCCCTCGTTGAAGTATATGTAAAATTGCCTGACTGCACGTGCCCTCGTCCCTAACTTGACGGGGAGGTCTATAACCTGAAGAAAGCAGCCCAATCATGAAGGTTCAAGATTAACTGGACTGTAAGGAGGCTTGCTGGATTCACTGATATATAGTTGTCACTTGTAGCGTAAAGTGTTGACCTGTGAACTAAAGATGCGACCTCTGCGTGGAGTCGTTGTCCAAGCGGTCCAATCAGAACAAGGCATTTTG